AATGAGGACAATAAAAGCAGTCAAAACTAACAAAAGAGCAACAATATATAAGTGCAAATGACAAGTCTTGGTTAGCCTAACACAGTACACGTAGCAAGGTGTATATATATATATATATATATATACATACATATATATAATTAATAATAAATAATTATTTATAATTAGAAATATATAGTTATTATTTAACTATGTCTATATAATTATTTATAATCAACAGTTAAATAAAACAGTTAAAATAATTAAAATAATATAGTATTTTATGCTTGATTATAGAGATTGCTTGGGTCAGTTTCTATTTGTATGCCAGTTTCAGTCACTGTAATTAATAGATTAACATAATATAAAAAAGTCTGCTGACTTTAATGTGGGCAATGAGTGTAATACTCAAAAAGCAATATCAAATTTGAAATAATTCAAAGAAAAATTATTCACTACAGAAACTTGCAAATTTGCAATTGCACTTTTAAGACTGCTTGATAGTCTTCCATGTTTGTGGGAACCCAGGGCAGGCACGCATTCTTGTTATCTAAAAGCAAAACAATGAAAGATTGCACATAATCTTGGACTAACTCTGTTCAGGTCTGATTTCGTGTCACTTCTGCGTCCTCTAGTGGTGAAAACCAACACTACAGAGGGGAAAACTGGTCACTGTGTCAACACTGAACTCAAAAACGATCCAATTTACGTTCTTAGTAAATGCTTCTGATCACATTGCACCTGATTTAGTAGTAGTAGTATATTTTTATTGAATGCCATGTCAGCATCTTAGGCTATTTTCATGGCAAAAACAATTAAAAAATACAAGTATAACAATACCAACAAACAAACAAACACAAGTTATATTACACAAGATGTTTTTGCTCCAGAATTATTATTTAAAGACAAGAGTGTTGTTTTCAAAACCTTTCAGCTCAATCTAATAACATTTCTGCTGCTGTAACCTGATGTAACCGGATGTAAACTGCACAGGTCTGGGATCAGATTTCACCTTCATGCAGATTTGGCCTTTTAAAGCGTTCCGGCCACACATCCTTCATGCCATAGAGGCTTGTGGGGAATCTGCTGCTGTTCTCTTACCGTGGCTGTAGCTGAGGGAGGGGCTTGTGAGCAGGTCTTTACTGGGCGTGTGTAGCCCCGCCTCCTTCCCACGCTGACTCATCCTTCCCGGGGTCAGAAGCGCCGCATCGTCACCAGGCATTAAGGCAGCTGTGGAACAATAACAAAGACAGAAGATGCATTCATAAAACAATGGATGCTGAATCTGATTGTTTGAAATCTGGTTTTAAAGGGTCACGACACCCCAGACTACTTTTTCTGAGATTTTAGCAGAGATGTTTGTGTTGCACATCAATGAAGGCAATGTTAGCATCCGATAATTTTAACAGGTTAATTTTATGCTCTTTTGCGCTATTTTCATTTTTGAGCTATTTTCATCTTCCGGGTTTAAAATCTACATTGTGTTGACGTCACAATTTGTGACGTGGCAAAGGACTATAGTACATCGATGATGCGTCTGTGTCTATTAAATTATTCATGGGACTGTGTGTTCTTATCCAGGGTGTCTACAGATACGAACAAGTTAAATTTAAGACTTTTTAAGACCTTTTTAATACCACCTTATGTGAAATTTAAGAGAACTGACGTCATCAGAAAAGGAATGCCATTCCAGAGCGGAAGTAAATGTTCAGATTTTGATGAAAGATTATGAAGACAAAGGATTTTTTTCAGCGGATTAACTTGCATGGATTAATTGTTCACATCATTACTAGCAATGTGCGCTAGTAAAGTAAATAAAGTCAATTTTGATTTCATGCGGACTTTAAGGCTTTTTAAGACCTTTTTAATACCACCTTATGTGAAATTCAAGACCAAGCCTGTGATGGAAATACACATTATATTACATAGGTATATGTAATATTTAACGTGTTTAAATGTAAAAAGAAAACAAAATATCATCGCTGTCAAAAATTTTATTTGTTATTACGATATACAGTGAACTTTTCATATCAGCATACAATATCCCATACAAAATATTCCCACAAAACAAAAGTGTCGCAGTCTAAAAATGTAAGTAACTACTCTTGATGGACACTCACTGGGTCCGTCAGACTGGAGAAATTTTTGTGGTAATGTGACAAAATATTTAAGACCTACTGAATCTGAATTTAAGACATTTTAAGACTTTTTAAGGCCTTATTTTAGGAAAACTTTATTTATGACATTTTAAGACTTTTTAAGGACCCGCGGCCACCCTGTTATCCTATGAGAAGACACTTCGCTTTATTATTCACAACAGCATGTTGATTTGCTATGACAGACGCTTCAGACTGTGAGACCGCATACATTAACTGAGAGAAACATTCATGGATTGAAGGAGAGTGTTTGTTTTTATTTGATTTTATACCTGAAAACATGTTAAAAATATTTTTTTTCCTAGCTGTTGTGTTGACATTATTTACAGAATGTTAAAAAGAGATATAAAAAATTCCTTCTAGAAAATGAAACAAGAATTTTGAACCTGGCTTTATCCAATGTTCAGATAAATTTTCTGGAAATGTATAAAAATTAGTATATGGGTTAAAGACGAGACATTATATTTTGGTGCCCACAGCAAATTAAATTTGACTTTCTATACATAGAAGGCATATTAAATGCAAGTAAAGTATCTACTTTAATGTTTCACATAACTTTTGTGAAAATAAAATGTAAAAATATGGGTGAAATAAATGTTCCATTCTCATTCAGCATAACAGAAATATTCATGTAAAAATGTAACAACATACTTATTCTGACCTATACTTATTAAAATATACAAAAGAATAAGTGACCATATTACATTTTTATATATTTTAAATTAGATTAAAAACTTCTTGATGACAAATGGGTAAAACCTATAGTGGTCTGAAGGATAGTGCAAATATTTGTAAAGATTTAAAATGTCAATTAATTAGTATTTTGGGGAGCTGCAATGTGATCCTTAAGAGTCTTGTAATGTCATCTAATGAATCTTGTTCTAAAGATGCCTGACAAGATTTTTTGGCATTTAAACTAGTTTTGCTCAGAAAAAAAATACATTTATAAAAGACACATTCTAATGTGTGAAAAAAAATTATGTTGCAATAAACTTTTATTGTTTTGATACTTCAAACCCTTTTTGTCTTTAACCCACATATGCTTACTGTATTACATATATACATTTGCTTATTGCACATAACATTTCAGAAAACTTGTAATATAAAAAATATTTGGAATTCTTAATATAATCAATAAACTGGGGAAGTATAGTGCTATTTTATTTTATTTGTTTTTTTTTAGCCTGTTCGCCTTGGATTTAAAACCACATAAGGATGTGGTTTGGATTGGGTTTATAAACACCGGATATCTATTGATTTAATTTGAGTCAGATACACCATTTTTGCTGTCTGAACAAACTGATAAGCTTCCACCATAGTTTAACTGATGCACATATTGTTGTAAAGTGCCTCCTCTAGTGGCCAACACAAGAAATAAAAACAGATAAGCTGATTACATGGTATTGTGCAAAAACTGTTGTCTGTAATACTACTATTTATTTTCTATTTTCTTTCCAACATCACACACAACCTTACAGAGTGTGTGTGTGTATGTGTGTGTGTGTGTGTGTGTGTGTGCGTGTGCGTGCAGCTGAGGAAATTTAATGCATGAGAATATCTGCACAATGACGCAGCATAAAACATGGGTGAAATAACACACTTCTGGTGAATATATGCATGTGTGTGTGTGCGTGCTTGTGTTGCTACACGTGTATAACAGCACGTACACACACACACACACACACACACACACACACACACACACGGGTCGGCCGCTTAATGTGATTCAAAAGCAAATAAAGGAGAAGCTGAAGCGACAGCTGAATCACTTTATGCTAATCATTCTAGATGCTCGTTTGAGATGCAATATGAGTATTTAATCCTCATCACTGAGGCTGTGAAGAAACTAATTACTAATGAGCCAATTAACAAAATAGCCACATTAGAAATCTCAAATTGTGAGTTATCGCGATCGCTATTCTCTGCTTCACATTAATCTACACTTCCGCTGTTTTCACACAAATGTCCCTTAGACGAGTTAACTACTGAATTTCTGTGGAATTGCATCAAACATTAATACAAGAACCATGTAGGAAATTAAATGTCAATGTCAGACTTTAAAGCATCTGAGCATGTTTAAATGTTTGTTGCGTGTTTGCCGCACATCAGAGACGCAACGAATGTTCTGAGCCCTTGTAATAAAATCATTGGAAAACACTTTTTATAGAAAGAAAGATAATATTCTAGACTGGAAGTATAAATTGGAGCACAATCACCATATATGAGGGCAGACAATTTGATATTGTCTACACACATATACAGAGTATGTTTGGAATTTAATTTAATTTAATTTTAAGTACATATCATATAATATAAAATATAATATATATTTGTATATATAGAAGAATATATAAATTATATATGTGTGTGTGTGTAAAGAAATAAATTTTTTAAATATATATATTAACATACAATGTGATAAAAATATATATTGATGAATTATACATTATAATTATGTATAATAAATTGCATGTAAATGTATACATTTTATACATAATTTTTTTTTTTTAATTATCTTTCATTTCCAATAATGCTGCCATATATAAACATTACAAAAATGTATATTGATGAAATTGTGTATAATACATTATATTTACCTTTATAAATTTTATTTAAATTTACTTCCAAAAAATGACGTTTTACTTCCAATCATGCTGTCAATTTTTGTTTTATTTATTTATTTAAAGGGGTCATATGATGCGATTTAAATTTAATAATGTACAGTATGTGGAAAATAATGTGTTTTTTTTAACTTTAAACTGCATAAACACATTTCCTTACACCAAATACACAAAATAATGTTATTTTTAACAACATCATATGACCCCTTTAAATTTGATTTAATTTGAATTAATTTAATAATTCAAAATGACAATTTATTTCCAAGATGATATCTGGACACCACTCACTGAATTAAACTATGAATTGTAAAATATGTATTGTATATCAAGTTCATGTGACTATAAAAAAACAATACAGTTTTGAAAGAAGAAAACGTTTATTGTTGATTCTGTTCCACATACTATTAAAACAGCATGCTGTATACAGAATATAACGTTAAGTATCTCATTCGTGAACATATGCCTATGCAGACTTTGACACACAGAAGCACAGATAACACACACACACACACACACACACACACACACACACGTCACAGACAGACACACACAGCGAGGGTCCGCCAGGCAGTGTTGGTTTTGGTGTTGGTGGGATTTTGTGCGTTGGGCCACATTGGCAGCAGACAGACAGATGGCATGAAAAAAAAGACAAAAAAAGACAAACAGGGAAAAAAGAAAAGCAGCATTAGTTAAAAATGACAAACACATAATGACACACAAGACACTGGCAACAAAATCCAACTGAACAGAGCAAGAAAGAATAAGCAGAACAAAATCAGAGAGGGTTAGACGAACCAAACACACACACACACACACTCATAACACAGTCCGGACAATGTGGATTAGCAAAGATTATAGTGAACAGAGATCAAAGCCACAACAATACAAAGCTCTGGGATTCTGATTGGTCGACACATCTGTCAATCAAACGGTACAACAAATACACTTGAGTAATTGGCACCCACATTGACTCCCGTTTAATCAAATGAAGCCGGTTTGAGGTCATGTAGGTTATTGATGGATTAAGAAAGCTTTTAGAGCCTCTATGGACGGCTGTAATTGAATTAAATCTATACAGAAATTTGTGTGACCTCTTTATACAGTGTTGAACAATTAATGCCAATTCCCTTAAACATTAGCGGTATTTGTAAAGCATCATACTTGGGGTTAGTGATTTGAACAAACACTTAAATCGCACCTCAAATCATGTGGATTGCTGTTCATTTGCTTGTATAATAAAAAGGAACATATTGAACATAAAACTAACTAGTCTAATCATGTCAGTCTGTCTGAATGTACGATAAACCAGCGAACCTAATCTGTTCAAATGTTTTAGCTCTGTACAAATATAATATAATAACAGTCAGAGCGGATAGAAAAGCTCAAGGATTTGTGATGTTTGACCACTTATTATGACAGTATCAAAGCTGTTTTCAGCATTACTGGGATTAAG